TGGCAAGGAGCAATCCAACCTATATCACCAGTGTTTAGCCAACCATCTTCATCTAGGGCTTGCCTCGTAGCCAATGGATTCTAATCCAAAACAATAACACAAATTCGTCATCTAGGATGCCACAAAAACTCATATGCATGTATATTCTACTGACAAACAATGAAAGTTTGATGCAGAATTCCTAGAAGACTAAAAGTCTTATACTCTTGTAATTCTTTCCTTTGTCCTTTTTTTTAAAGTTAATTCTTTCCTTCTTAATCTGAAACAAATATTGCTGTTTATTATATGCCAAAATAAAAAAAAAGGTATGTCTTATACTTGGTTTCATTCAGGTTTTTTAATTTTCTACAACACCAAAAACAGCAAATTTATTGGCTTTTTAATTACCAGAATCGAATCCTTAAACAGAACCCTCAATAACCTGAACTAAAAACTGAATAGGTTCAGTTTCTTGGTTTCAAGTCACCTGCCAACCTAGCACTCAGAAACATGAAAATTTTCCTTCTGTCCAAAAGCTTAACTTATGAAACAAGGGATATCCTATATACATGACCAATACTATAACAATGTTATTTCCTCATTTTGAATCACCAGGGGCTAATGCCTAAAATTTCTTGATTTTATCTTTCCTTTGCTTGGTAAAAAATAAATAAATAAAAGAAGTACAATACTCAGGCCGCATGTTATAAAAACTGCATCATATAAACATTTGCAAACATTCTGCACAAGCACTACGCTTTCATTGGTTATCTTCTTGAAGTAACACTTTCAATTCATTATTACCTTATAGTAACCTTTCATCACTTGTGGTCCTCTAACCTTTACAATGCCCTTGGAGCCAGGTGGGAGAACTTCATCAGTTTCAGAATCTACGATTTTGAATTCTGTGTGTTGAATTGGATGCCCAACTGAACCAAGAACCTTCAAAAGTCAAATCTGAGAGATTGTCATATGATGGAACACTCTTTCTAAAGGTAGAACAAATTTAGATAGGGCAAGAAGTACATGAATAACAGTAGACAACATGAAGATAACCTAAAAAAGAAACAATGGTAAAAAATAGAACAGTGAGAAGAGTTTATAGTCAAAATGGTTGTTCACTTAATATAGAAAATTTATACATAATGCACAGAAGGTTTATTTAGATAAACAATAAACATTTAAAGTTTTGGAAAGAGTTGGAGTTGAACCCAATAAGATACATTTAACTTGGAACAAGATTACGATAATGACATAGATTAGTAAGTCAATGCAACTAGGCGGTTTAGTGAGTATGTGTCTAACAAGGTTTTACCAAGGACGAGACAACTATTGTTTAGCTGACAAACTTCCATGCAAGCATCCCGTTGCACCTGGAAAATCTGCGTTTTGGTTCTATTTCAAGAATTCATTGTAGGGTAATATGGTATATAAAAATTTAGTCCCTTTTTTGCATTTCATCAAGAGAGATAAAGAAGTCTCAAACATCTGAAGTGTGACAGTGTAGTCACGAATGAGATGGTTGCAAGGTAAACGTGTCACCATTCTTTTCAACATGATAAAGCATTCCAGCAAGTCTGGGGTTCAACCCCCAGATACCGCAAAAATTTTGGGTTATCCCCTTAAAATCCATTGTACCAAAAAATCGAATTCCACACAACTCAACTAAGACTTTAATCCCAAAGCACCCTCATAGATCCCTTTCTTTTGATATGTGAGGATCCTAATCTTCCTAAGAACCTCATCAAGAAAAGGAAAGAAGATAGTACCTGCATGTACCTGTTGATCTCAAAAACATTTCTTTCATAATGCCTTGGATTTAGCAAAGTGAATTACCATTACGCAACAAATAATTCTGTCTAGGAGAATTTCTTCACATTGCTTATGAGAAATCACATGCACTATCACAGGTGGCATTGAAGAAAGAGATGATATCAATTAAAAATTGTAACAGAAAAAAATTAGGGGTGTCTTACATTACAGTTAGGTCGTCGAGCAGCAATGACAGGTGATGATTCTGTTAAGCCATATCCATTCTGCAATTTCACACCAATTGCCTGCATGTATGTGAATCCAAAAAATAAGAGACAATGACTACTGACCTTTTGATCAGCAAGCTAAGAAAGTATTAGCATCTAACCTCAAAAAACTTGTCAATATGCATAGGCAAACTTCCGCCCCCACTTATGCCAGCCTGGGGGATAAAGATAATAAAATAATCAATAAATCCCAGATCAGATATACTACAGATGATGAATATAGAAAAATAAGAGGCCCATCGCAATAAGGAATTTTGCACCAAAGAACAAACAACAATAAGAATTCCTCTCTTCTCTTTTTTTTTTTTTTGCTTTTTGCTTTTGGTTTTGGTTTTTTTTTAGGACAAAACATACAGATTCTGGTCAGTCAATAAATAGGGATAACATGAATAGCTTCAGATGAGAAAACATCAATAACAAGACCATATACGAAATAGATCAAACCTTTGATATTCCAATAGCAGAGTGAATTTTTTCATAGACAAGCTTCTTCGCTAACACATGCAATGGCCACAATATTGCAGCAATAATTCTTGCCCATAACCATTCTAACATGGATACAACATATGAAGGTTGCTTCTGATCCCTTGTTAGGCATAGTCCCTGTTAATCAAATAAAAGAAAAGCAATAATTGAAAGGAAACAAGTAACTAACTAAAGAACACTTAGTATTCAGCAAGTGTTATAGTTTGGAGCAGAGGAAGACATTTAGAAGAACTATATGCGTTCTCTAATAGATGATGGTTTTAATTTCCTTTAGTCAGTTTGGTCGATGCAATAGGCTGCCAGACTAGTCACCATATGCTGACGGAAAATTTTATTCAGCTAGTTATGGGGAAAGAATCATCAATTAATTAACCACATAAACAGAAATGTATTAACACTGATCACACAATTAAGAGAAGTTTAATAATTTTACCAAACAGAATTGCTTAAACAATAATTTTATTAGAAAGGAGCATTTATATGATCGTCCCCAGTTCTTTGGGGAGAGGGAAGGAAAAGGGGTTGTAAGTTAAGTTTCAGGAACTCTGTGATTTTTGTTAAATCTTTGGCTTTGAAATAAAATAATTAAGGGCATAAGATAAAATTGGCTTCTATTTCCCACTTATCTCATTTTATAGGTTTAAGGCTTTACAAAATAAAATCATAGGAGAGTGAGGGTCACTATTAGAAGAACATAAAGCATAAATCTGCACCACTCAATTTTAGTTTCATAAACTTTGTAAATGGCTTGAAGATATGAGAAGAGTTGCTCAGTGTCACACCTTGTAAATTCTCTTCAACTCCATGTATGCCAAGCTTACCCTTATGAATGTAAGTGCTATAAATTTACGAGCTGTGGAGCTTGTGTAAATCTGCTTTTGAATCCCACTGCAAGGTAATCCGTTAAATTTAAAGGCTGCATTTAGAAGCCAAAAGTTTCCTGACACAACTGATTTGAACAGGAGTCTCATCATGACAGTATAATTATCATTTAACTCCAGATATTTTAGCTATGCAAATATGTCCAACAAACAGGAAGAGCGAGGAACTTTATTGACCAAAAAATATTTAAGTTTGATTCAATTGAGTTAGTATTTAATAAACTAATCGTGTATAATGCAACTGGAGCTTCTAGAATTAATCTAAAATTCCAAACATAACCCCTATATCTGAGAAAATGCCTATCAAGACACATTCCGATGTGGTTCTATTTCAGCTTCACGCTGAAAATAAACATTTTTTTTATGAACTGAACTTGTGTGCACCAACCATGTTTAAAAGACAACAGACTAAACCAAATCAACCAAGCTAGTTAAATAAGAATCATCATATTGGCCAACATAGTGCTCTAAAACTGTCTCCTTACCCATCATACTTCAACAAAAGTTTTAAAACCTTATGAGTATTACTTTTTCAATACCACAAGAATATGTGATAAAAAGCATCAAGAAAATTTGATATGAAAGATTCCTAGTACAATCTAAGATCTGTTCAAGAGATCACTTCTCAGCAAGAGTTTATCTCAGTAGATTGTATAGTGAGGAAATTTAAGTTTGATCTTTTAATTCTTAAACATGCAGAGGAATTTTTTTCCACAAGATGCTTATACCAGATATAGTTTATCGCATTCATTAGATAAATTACAAGATTGAAAACTGATGGAACACAAAGTTATAGCACAAATGGGGGAAGCACTTAGAATAAGTATGTTTCCATTTTTAAGGGTGAGTTTAAGAGAACCCAGTATCCATCAAAATTGAAATGGTAAATAAAATAATTTTAGATTGTTTCCTGGAAAGTGTCCCCAAAATCTTGGCTGATGGTGATTCATCAACAATGTAGAAATCCTGAGTAAAAGACTTACCCGTAGAGTGTCTCATACACTAAGGGTACAGATATCAGGTAGTGTGGCTGATAATGTCTCAAATCATCCTATAAGCAAAACCAAAATATGTAATTAACTTATAAAGAAGTAATAAACTAATAATCATGGCATGTAGAGAATTGATACATTTACCACTTAGAACATGACAGTTGAGAAGTAAAACTGAAATTTGCAATTTTTCCATTTATTCAGAATCAATTTAAAAACTTTCATCTTTTTAAACAAAACATTATAATCCTACACAACCAAAAAACATTACCTTCAAATTTCTCACTGTTGTATATACTTGCTCAATTCCATGCGTAAATATGAAATATTCACAAGCTCGCTCATATGCGTGCCAAGAAGGAAGCATGCTTAGAAATCTATCCCCAGCTTCAGCAGGTACGACATCCCACAAATTCCTTATCTAAAAAATAATCCAGATAAAAAATACTATTATACAGCAGATTAGATTAAGCAGGATGTTGCTTTCAATGATAACAAATGAAATAATTAAATCTTATCTACTGAAAAATAAGCACAAATACACAGCTTCGGCAACGTCAGACAGTCTAGTTTGGAACAACCAGGACATCAAAGTGCCCTGCATCAACTTGGGCCAGTCTAGGTTTGGAAAAACCTGGACTTAAAAACATATATGATGCCAGTTACAAACAATTAAACTTTAATAACCCACTGACAACTCCAGCAGAACTTTGCCCAGAAAATAATTTCATTAATAGATCATTACAAACCATTTTGCTGTATTCATTAATTTATCACTAACATCCCAGCATTTTACTTCAGATGATCCAGAAATGGGTCAGTACTCAATTAAACATTTTTTTTTTGGAACTTTCCAAAATTAAAATACCTAAAAGGCATGGTAATCAAAACTAAGCAGTTACCTGGTGTAATAAATTCTTATGTGTAAGCATAACACCTTTTGGATTGTCAGTGGTTCCGCTTGTATATACAAGGGTAGCAACATCATCTGAGCCAATGGCTTCATATATGTAACCTTGTCCTGAAATCACCTTAATTAGTCCACTGCTACAATGCTTATCAAGGAATTGGGAATTCACAAACGGATAAGTTCATAAGATATAAGATTCAGATCATTGATAGTGTCCTTTTCCCCCACATACACTCTTAGTTATCCTAGTTGCAACCGTTGTATTCATTCATATTTTTAACCAGTTAGCTATCATGTATTCAAAAAAAAAAAAAAGCACTGCAATCACTAATACACTTCTCGTTAAAATGTTGACTCATAGTAAAACAATATGGTTTAGATAAGTTGCACAACATGTATGATTAAACTACAGTAACATACAAACAACCATACAAGTGTCATCAAGTACATAGTGGTTACTTAGGACTGGATGAAATTTTAGGTAATAAAGATGAAGAATATGGAGGACATATATAGAATAAGGTGCTCCCACCCTTCATCCCCTCGCTCATTGCTGCTATAAATTTTTCAAGTGCAGACATCCCAGATTGTCTCACCATCTCAGTGAATGCAAATTTTTAAATTGGCTTACCACCAATAAAATTAAAATAAGAAAAGCTCCCAACTCTGTGTTAATTCAAGTAAAAGAAAATTTTAAAATAACATCATGTAGGATATTGGGAGCAGGGAATCTCCATCTTCAATTTATCTTTAGGACTAGCTGGCCCAAATTTTAAATACAAGTTCATGAGTATATGCATCACCTAGCAGCCCTAAATTCATCATAAATTGAGTTTGTTTGAGAAAACACAACTAAAATCAGAAGTCCTACTATGACCCAGTGACAGGTCAAAATTTGTTTAAAACCAATCATCTGCACATGCAAAATGTACAGCTAATCCAAAAAAAATGTATAAAAAGGTTGCAAAATGATTTTGATTCCAAAGCTTCGTTCTAGACATATAAGATCTTGATTTCTGTTCAATTGACACCTCAGGTAGCCAAACAGCAAAACAACACAGAAGCACATACGAAAATACATTATTAAAACAATGAACTTGAGGATAACAAAGTGAAAGGTAAAATATATGATCCAAAATTTGAACACAGTAAATCAACCTACTAGCATCAAGAGAATCAGTAAGAGCAACACGGCTTTCTCTTCCTAACTCCATGATCTCCTTATAACTGAATATAGGCACGCCCTGTGTTTCACCACTGGCCAGGCATGATTTCTCACCCCAAAGTAGAACAATAAATCTCATTGTTGCATTCGAACAAAATGTTCCAGCAAGACGATTGAAAAATTCGGGATTGTCCACAACAAGCCCAACACTGCCATAATAATAACATAGAATCAGCAACTTCTGTAATACCAATTACAATGAAGGCACGGTAGTCCAGATAATGAAAACTTAAGAAGCATTTGTAACTTCACAAAATAAAATGAATAAATAAATAAATAACAGTGGATCAAAAGACATGAAGGCTTCTGGGTGTATCAACTGTCCATGAGAATAATCATTACTTCTTGAAAACATGTTTTCTCATGAATATATGCAAATTATATCTGTGTTATCAAATTGACAAGATAGAATACTACAAATCATTAGTATTAACCAATGCTCAATGAAGGGTAAATCCCACAAGAGGATGGCTCCTGAAGACATGCATGCAGATGTAATCTAAAGAGCAGATTGGTGCTCAAGTACACAATAAAAATGAGATAGCCAGTCCACATAGGTTAACATTGAAATGAATTCTAAGGATATCCATCCAACTTAAACAAAACACAGCCTTCCAGGACATGTTTTGTTTACAAAAACAAGATAAGTAGAGAAGTTTACTCAAAAGAAAAAAATTAAAGGTTTTTTCTGTTACAAATTTAAATATTATATAAAATCACTTAATTGATAATTCAAATATAATCAAAACCTTTCCGAATGATTGTATATGTGTAAAAGCTCTTCCATAGCTGATCTTGACCCTCTGACAACATTAATTGCTCCCATTGCCATTATACCTTGGCCAAAGTAATGCACTGATATTATTTTCAAAATTCAGAAATTCGACTACTAATAAAGTTGTGACTGAGTGAAAGATAAAAGAGTTCCTGCATATAATATTAACCTGTATTAAAGACTGTAATAGTAATAATGAATATTACCTCCACTTCCATACAAAAACACAGAAGTTTCAAGACTTAAGAGGAATAGATCTTCTGTCTACAGGGAAATCTTTTGCCTCTCACAAGAAAAAATGAGATCATAAAAGAACACCTTTGATGGTTATAACTGCAACCATACAAAATTTACAAAAAAAAAAGAAAGAAAAGAAATCCAATTTATTCGGGAAAAATACAAAGAACTCAGTGTTCCAGTAGGAAACAGGTATGCCAGAAAAACCGAATTTGATGCTGCAAAAGGACTGAAGTGTAAGCCATCTTGCTCTAAAAATAGATAAAGTGAAATGCATGGTGACTAATAGGTGGTTTGCCTTTTGAATTCAATGGAAGTGGTGCAACTAGAAATGAAATAGAAGATATATGGCTAAGTCTTACTAAATAGAGAAAGCATGTGTTACATGGTTGCAGGAGCTTTAAAAGTTAAGCAGAATTATTGCTAGAATTCAAAATTCACACATTTTAGGCTCTTGATATAATTGCACATCAACCACCTTTTCTGTTAATCCATGTGCCAGTCCATTCTCAGTTGTTTATATACAAAACACTCTCTTCTTCCTTCACCAGTTCTAAGAAACAGATTTAAGTACTCCCAATTCAAAAGCAAATAAAGGAATCCATATAAAGCCAGAGTCCTACCATTGGAAACAGAAAAATGGATCATATGTGTACTGTACACTAGGAATCACATGATTAGATTGGATATACTAACGCAAGTACACAACCAGCAACCTTATCTTATAGCTATTGGACTTAAGCAAGCAAGTTACTGGCAAATTACAAATGATATACACCTTGATCTGAAACAAGCCACCGGCTTGAATTATCAGCAAAAAGGGCAAGCTTATCTTCTGGCTTTAATCCAATTACCCTTAAACCTTCAGCAAAGTCTAATATTTCCTGCTCCAGCTGCATCATTGAAGGAGTTGAAAATTAGGCAATCGGAAAGATATGATGACATGTTTTGCATAAAAATTGGAAAAGCTACATTACATGAACAACTAGAACAATTTGAGATGATTAAAGTAAAAAAAGTTAAGTAGTTTTAGATATTAATTTAGCTAATTCTGCAGCTGGCTTCTCTTTTCTATTTCAATGTATACTTTAATTAGTCTTATGGTAAATTATAGAAGAATAAAACTAAAATTTACCTGTATATAAGTCATCGTGGAAGGTGGGTCATGGTATGGATCAACCACTGCTACTTGATCACCATACTTTTCTGCTGAAGACCTCCAAATGTCAGGGACTGCTTTCCATTCATCAGAGACCACTGCATCATTACTTGATAGTGATGCTTTTTCTAGTAAAGGTGAGCACCTTCTTATCTGCAACTCCTGTGTCTAGGACAAGAAAAAGAAACACAGGCAGACAGTAAGATCCCAAGTTATACTTCCTCTGGCTCGTCAGAATGAGTATAAAAGTGTAAAAAGTTTAGCAAGGAAAAGAAATTTTCAAAGCTTTGAGAAAACATATACTAACACCCAGTTAAAAGGTTGCAATAACACCAGCAAGTTCAGGCTAACTATGAGAGTATGGCACAGGGATCTAGATGGAATTTGAAGTTTTGAAGCTTCAAGGGATAATAATTAACGCAGATAAAGACACCAAGGAGCGGGCTTATTGGCAGCAATGATACATAAAAATAGGCAATCCAGATTACAAGTGGATTAACAATGCAATGGCTTGGTTCATATGCTGTTGGTTTAAAAGTGAAATACAGGGTTAAACCATGAACACTAGGATACAGGCAATGCCCCTATGAACTAGTAAGACAGCAATATCACTTCTGAAACACTTAAAAGGAAAAGGAAAACTTATTTTTCAAGAAAAAGAATGACTACAAGGCAAGTAAATATTAAGATATTGTTTGGTAGTTACTTTGGGTACTTGCTTTTGCTTCCAAAAGGAAAAGGTAAAAAGCACTTGATACCAAGCAAACAAAATTTGTGAAAAATTAAAAATTAAAAATGAGGGAAAAAAACACATGATTTAATTTTGGGTTATTATTCCATACACCTGTATTTGAGTTTTTGAACTCCACAAGTGGGGTTATAGGATTGCCATAAGTCCATCTAGTAAATTTATTAATTTCCTTAGTTTTAGCCCAATGGACATGTGGCAACCCTTTAAACTTGCTTGTGGAGTTCTAAAACTCCACCAATGGTGTATAGGATATTTTTCCTTCACCTTTTATACAGAGGAATTGTGGTAGAATTAGGGGTGAATTTTAGTCATTTATTCATTTCAATCAACCACAAGTTCGGTTTCTACTAGTATTTGGTACAGACAAATAGCAAAAAGAAACCAAAAAAAGGAAGCCTTAATTACTAGGAAGGACCATGTCATACCTCTTGAGGTGATGTCCTGGATTATTGACTTTTCCGTAAAATTGGAAGGTAAGGACCATGTGATATGTTGAAATCTCTTAATAATATGAGGGAAAACTTGAGGTTATGTCCTGGATTATTGACTATGCCATAAAAATCAATCCCCAATTAACTTCATCGGAGCAGGCATTAAATTATCCTTAACTTTCGCCTATTCTACTTTCTGGAACTCTTTTAAGCAGTTTGAAATTATCCTATTGGTTCAAAGGTTTTATTCTAAACTCAGCATTTATTAAGTCCATTCAAATTCAAATTCAACAGTTAATATACACTTAAAAAAGGGAATTAGAAACAGAAAGGTTACAAAATTGACGGACAGAACTGATTAAAAAAAAAGAAGAAAACAACTTGCAGAAGTTGAAGACATCCAAAACCTTATCTTTTCATAATTCTGACAAGAACCCATCAAAGCCTATTATCTGCTATGATCACATAATAATTCAGCAAAAAATCAAAGAGTTAGAAAAAGGGGAGTTTGAGAATCACCTTAGATTCACAGAAAACTCGAAATTTAGATCCTGGGGAGACCCGGAACCTGACTCCAGGGAGCTTTGTAACCAAAGTTTTGGAGCAGTGCAATTTAGAACGAGAGAAAAGAAACCGAACAGAGTTATTACAATTATCAAAAGATGTTAAGGACAACATGGTTTCCATTCTCTTTTCACAAGATGAAGAACAGCAAGAAGAAGAAGCTGTCTTTATGGGATTTATCGAAGTTCCCAACATTTTAACGTGCAAAAGGGAACGTAGAGACAGAAAGAGAGAAGGAAGAAGGCAACCAAGTTATCGGGGGTTTTGTCAGGAGTGAATGATGCGATCTTGTAAGTGGCTTAAGTTAATAGAAAAAACATCATCATGGGATGACATCTGTCGTACAAACCAAACAAAATTTAAGAAAAAAACCTTAAAACGAGAAAAAAAAAAAGCATCGCTATCGGCATCGACTAGTGTATTAGTATTACATTGTTTTTCTAACCGTATAATTATGAAGATAATAAAGATATTTCTAGGTACAATTATTTCTTGCTTTTTTTTATTGGTCCATTTCCTTTTCTTTAATTAGCTTAGCTAATGCTTAAAAAGAGAAATTACTTGAAGATCCATCAGTATTTGGAATTGCGATCGGAAAAAGGTAGCCATTACCAATTTACCGGTGACTGCATCTTTTCTTTTCTTTTTTTTTTCTATTGCTGCACTTTCATTATCTGTCAGTGGTTTAATAAATCAAGTAATCTTCCTTAAAAACCGAGTATCTACCATGGTTTATAGTCACTGCATAGCTGCTTTTCAACATCCTATCATCCAGGGCATCTGTTTCTTGTGCTGAAGGGCATCTCCTTCGTAGGGTTCCTTTTAAATTATTAATTAATTATCATTAAATATATTTTCATAACATTAATATAAACGATAAAAAATATTATATAATTAAATTATAATATCAAATTAATACATCATATCATCATATATATCAATATATCATATCACTATTAATTATGATATATTAATATTACGTAATATAAAATAATAAATAATATTTTAATAAAATTAATTATAATTTAAAATAAAAATAATAATTTATTTAATTTAAAATAAAAAATTAATGAAATAAATTAAAAATATTTAAAAATTTAAATTTTTTTAAATAATTTAAAAAAAATAAATGTTATATCATTACTTTTAAAAACTTGATGTGGTCCTCACTGAAAATCTTCTTCTAAAGTGCAAAATTTAACACCTCTGCCATTGGACGCCAACATCAAAGTGGTTGACACTGTGATCCTACAAGACTACCTTCCTAGTTTCAATTATATGTCCTTCAACACTTGTCACAATTTGGCGGTTGGCATTTACTAACTTGCCGACCTTTATTCCAACCTATTGAACCTCTCTGCATTAAATTTTACTAGAGCATGCACTCGGGTCTCTTTGCTTCAACATCTTTGCTCTTTCTCTCTATCTGCCCTCCACGTGGTTAACTGTGAACTCTTTACACCTCCCTCTTTCTCTCTCTTTGTTTCAACATCTTTTCCCTGTCACTCCATCTGCCCTCTGTGTGATCATCTCTAAAATGCCATTAGAGCTTCCTTTTAAATATGTTATAAATATCTATATATAAAAACTTTAAGCTACAAAATAAAAAGTAATTTTCTTTATACACATAACTCTCGTTATTTGAACTCTAGATTTTTAAAATGAAGACTCAAATTATAATTGTTGAAGTATCCTCTTAAATACAATTGTGTTTTTTTTTTAATATTTATTAGAAAATGCAAAAACTTAACAAATGAGCCTAATACTTGAATACTAAATCATAATTAATATCCCGTACTCAAAGAAAACAAGAAAATAATGTTTTTGTTTATCCTATATTATCACTCTCGATGACAAGTTTCAAAAGAACGTAAAAGTAAATTGTTTTTGGATAGGGATGAGCAAATGGGAGAATTGAATTGTTTGATCCACCATATTTAAAGATAAAAACGAACCAACTATTTTTAAAATATTGATCAAAATCGATCAAATATAAAAAAGGACCAAACCTACCAAACATAAAATTAGCATGGTTGTCTCATTTGCGACCAATAGACCAAAATTAAATTACTATAATTATAATTTATATATGTATATATAATACCTTAAAATATTTTAAATATATTATTAATTAAGTTTACTATTAATTCTTTTTAATGTTTATTAATATATATACATATATATATATATATAAACAACTAATTTGGCTTTTTGGATGGATTAGTTCAAAAATTTTAAAGCTGAGAATTAACCAAAAAATCAATTGAACCAAATATTTTGGATCAATTAATCCAATGGACCAATTAGATTAAATCATTTTACTCAAATCATATTTGGTTTGGGTGAGTAATTAGTCTAGATTGATTTTGCTCACCTCTAACCACTAGAGGTAAGTAAATGGGTGATTTGATCTATCATACTTACCAAATGAATCAAATATTTTTTAAAAAAGTTTAAAACAAATCAAATATAAAGAAAGACTAAACCAATCAAACCGACCAAACATAGAATTAATTTGATCGGATTGGTTTTGGACTAATGGATCAAAATTTTATCATTTTTTTTACAAATTATAATATTAAAACTTATAAACTTTATCCATAATTATAAAATATACATATTATGTATAAATTAAATTTATGTGTATATATAATATATTACTTTATTATATATATAAAATTAATGACATAACTTATATGTTATAATATTTTAATTTTTATATCAAAGTTTGTATTAATAATAACTAATTATAAATAATATGTTATGAAAATTAAGACGATTATTAATAAAATTATTAAGTATAATCATATAAATAAACTCTATTATAAGTTACAGTAATGTTTATATATAAATTAAATAGATGTATATATACATCTATAATATATTACTTTATTATGTATATATGAAATTAATGACACAACTTATATATTATAATATTTTATAATAAAGTTTGTATAAATAATAACTAATTATAAATAATATGTTATAAAAACTAAGGTGATCATTAATAAGGTTATTAAGTATAATCATATAAATGAAGTTTATTATAAGTTATAGTATTGTTTATATATAAATTAAATATATATAATATTTTTATAATTATATATGTTCATAATATTTTATATTACGAACTATTACCAAGACATAATAATTACAACATACTAATATATAGAATATTTATTATCATATATTATAATATTATCTTATAAGTTATATCATTTAAAATATATAACTCGTAATTTTATATTAATACAGATTTATTTATAAATATATAATTAAAATTACATTATTATAATTATGATTTATATACATATAAATTAATAGATTTTAAGTATATTATTAATTAAGTTTATCATCAATTCTCCTCAATATATATAAAAATATTATATATATTAATACATATAAATATATATATAATTAGTTTAGTTTTTTTGGATAAATTGGTTTAAAAATTTTAAAACTGAGAATCGATCCAAAAATTAATTAAACTAAATATTTTAGATCAATTAATTTAATGAATCAATTAAATCGAACCATTTTATTCAATTGCATTTGATTTTAATAAGTAATTGGCTTGATTTAGATTTGCTCATCCCTGCTAACCACGACTACCCCCATCGATTATCCCACCGGGTTTGAAAATTTTATAATATTATTAGTTCATCACGCCTATTCCATCTAAACCTCGTCTATAATTTTGTCCGATCATAGTTTGTTACTAGGGAGCTTCCCTCACATTAGAGAAAAGAAGAAAAAAATAAAACAAAGACAAGGAATTAACACAACATTTTAGACCTACCCGACGTATTTGCCTGTAACAGTGTCCGCAAAGATAGTTCGGCTTCTTTTCTTTTCACCTCGGAGAAGAAGCATTAAAAGTAATAAATATATTTATTATTATTGAATCAAATATTATAACAATCACATCCAAACATCATTGATTCAACAACATTTTAGACTTAAATCATATGACTTTCAAAAATTTATATTTACTCTTATATAAGTCTTAATGTAGTATCACAACTTGGAATGATAAGAAAAAGTCTGTGTTGACAAAATAACACAATTAATTGACTGAATTGTAGTTTAGTTTATTTAAAGTTTCTTAATTAAATTGTTTAATGCTTGAAATGGGCAGAGCATTGGATTGGTAGCGTTTTCCGGATTATCAATCAGGTAACAAGGTAGGAGAAGATTAACATTCAAGCTAAGAGTTGAATGGAGAAAAGATAGTAATAATTTTATATGATTCAGTCCTTAGTTTCTTTTTCTAATTTGATGTCAGAAACACCGTTGTTCCCTTACAAAAATCTGAGTTAACAATAGTCTAACAGAAGAAACATGAGACCAGTTCCTGGTTATTAAACTTCGCCAGCTCTGTATTCCTTTGCCAGAATTGCTTGAGCTTAAATCATCTTCACAGAATCAGAGAGTCACGCTTGGGAACTTGCAGCGTCCACGACCTGCTCAAAAGAATCAATTACATATATCCCCAATAACAAGAATAAATTTGAACAGACACAATAGAGAGGAGGAAATTAGTACTACCAAATTGTTCTGTTCAACCTATTCTGTAATTTTCCTAACTAGACAATCAAGAAATCTTACTTGGGTTTACCGTTGTCTGTCTAGCTAATCCATTGAAGTTGCAAGTTGCCCCCTGGCTTCGAAACTTTGCCCAATATGAGCTAAATGCATAACTCGAATGCCAAAATACTGATATTGGCTCATAACACTCTTTTCCTGGACTCAACGCTGCACAAGTCTGAGTATCCTGGCTACAAGCATAGGTCAATGCAGAGGACAAGTTCATCAGATTGGCGCCTGGCGCCACCTCGCACCAAACCTTCCCTTTATAAGGCACGTTATTTTGAGCTGGAGGCAGTGGCTTGTAGTCAGGGACAAGTCGCTTCCCGGTGAGATCAATGTCGTAAATAGCTCTTCCATTTGAATGCAGCAAGCCCCAATGCCTTTCTGTTCCTGGACCCGTCTTTTGGTTTTCTTCATATAGGGAGAAAATAAATGTTGGTATGACTAAACCAGGTCTAGCTGGGGTCCCCAATGGTGGTTTGGCAGTCATCTTTCGAATGAGATTTCGGTTATAAGTGGCTGCATTGTAGATATTTGCCCCCACTTGATCAACATCCCCTGCAGTAGGCCAGCCTGTTTCAGCTATTGCTAGTCGGATATTGGGGTATCCAAGCTTTTCCATGGCGAAAGTAACTGAGTCAAGCATTTCGTCTAGGAGATTTGTGTAAACTAAGCCACTGCCAGGGTCAGTGTGGTTTACATTTCCTCCAAAAAGAGCAAAATCTAAGCTGATGTTCATTGGATTAGCAGACCATGGAAAATAAGGGTAAACATCAAGGAAAAAAAAGGATTTGCTCCCGTTCAAGAATTTCAGCAGCGGTGCCATCACAGTGTCTGAAATATCAGACCGGAACGTACCGTCTGATGGTGGGAAAGTTGATTGCAGTATGTCCATTGCTAGAGGTGTACCGATCTTGATATTTTTAATATCATTAGCACTCAGAGAATTCTTAATTCTACGCATTGCAGGCACAAGGTGACCCCAAATTGTCTGATCTTGTTTCGAAACATAGCTGAGGACTTCATTGCCAACCAAGACGAACCGGATATTGGTATTCGGGTAAGCTAGGACATTGTTTCGGACCCATTGCTCTGCTGCTGTTTGGCTTGAAGAAATTAGGACTATGTCCTTGTTGGGGACCATAATGGCCATATCAATATTGGTTCCTGAAAAGAGTTTCAATATTTCAGGGTCAGAATCATAGAGCTTTACACGGCCTGCATTCATGGATTTCATGATCTCAATGGATTGATAAGGGGATGGCAAATTGTCCCCTTGTCGACCATAATTTATTCCAATCTTGCTTGAGATTTCTGCCACTGTTAAGTAAAAGAAAGCAATGTTCATAAAACTGTAGACAATAAAATAAAATAAAATGAAATTTTGTGTATGGAATACTTACAGGAGACAGCAAGAAGAGAAGACAAGAGGAGAGCAAGAAGAGCCATTTCTGAGCTTTTTCCGATTGTACTGAACTGGTTTTGCCCCCAAAGTGTTCTGTGCTTTTAAAGAGAAAAGAAGAGAAAGCCAAGAATGGATGAATTAAGTAGAAAGTAGCTAGATTGTTCCATACACACGAAATGCTTTCTTTAGTTGAATGATATTTGCGAGTGCCTCCAAAACAAAGTGAAGTTCTTTTGTTTATTCCAAGCAAGAAAAGGCCACGAACCAAAGATATATGCCTATGGTAAAGTAATAATGGCTCACTTGTAAAGGAAAAGCTAAAGATTATGAAGTAAAAGTATATATGGGGTGTCTTCTTATTTTCTTGGGTTTGTTAATTTGTTTCAAGCTAGGTAGTTGTACACAAGTGAGAAAACAGATAAGGCTAATCTTGTGATCAATTAAGGTTTTAATTAGACCTTAAAATTTTAGCCCAGGTTTATTGGCCAAGAGAGGGCAGCATAAAGATTTATCTGAGTATATATATCATCACCAATTTTTGTTAATTACATCCGTTTGCCTTTTATAGAAAACAATGTCAATTTTTTATTATATTGCAAATTTTCCATAAATTCAATAAAGTTAATGGCTTAACCATTAACTTTGGAATTTATTCCTGGCTTTCAACTAAAGTCATCTACCTCCTTGTTATAATAATATAATATAATCATAAGAACACCCACTGCCCCAGTGCAATGGTCACCTCACATCAATTTATTCATGATTTCAGCAACAAAAATTCAATCTAATAAGATAATAATATTGTAAATCAAAAAGAAGCAAATATAGTAACAAAATTACAAATAACTTAATAACCTTTTCTTCCAATGCCTCTCGTATGTGCTAGGACTTGGAATTATATTCGTCTATAACATTCACTTTAGAGGACACTATTCGAGAGGGCAAGCTCCGGATTTCAAGAAAGTTTGTGACAAAATATGGAGAAGATTTATCAAGTCCAGTACTGCTCCTCGCTCCAAGTGGTGCTTGCTACTGGCATGTTGAGCTGACAAAATCTGATGGTGATGTTTGGTTGCAAAATGGCTGGAAGGAATTTGCTGAGCATTACTCTTAGAAGAATGGGCATTTCCTGGTTTTTGAAGTATGAAGGGGATAGTAATTTTCAGGTACTCATACTTGATATGAGTGCCTCAGAGATAGAATATCCGCATATTAGTCATACTAAGGATCGCAAGAGCGATGAACAATGTCAAGAACCTAGCAAGGAAGAAGCTAAAGATGATTCCTCTGTTGAAAAATTGTATGAGACTCCTCCAGGCAGGAAAACGAGACAGAGATCACGACCACCATGTTTACATCCTTGTAAGATAGTGAGAAGAACCACTTCAGCAGATAAAAGTAAGTGCAATTTTACATGAGAAATTCTGACTCCTGCTCTAAGCTTAATATGGGTGCAAATCTAGTGGGTTTTAACTACAAAATTTCAAGAAAATGATAACTCACCTATTTTACGAAAGATTTTTGGGGCATGTATCATTCTTTACCAGTAGGTTTCAACTTGTGCTTTAATTAGTTTGGATAAAGAGTTTTAACTAACCTTTCTGTCTTGTGTTATTTAAAGAGTTTCAACTTGTGTTTTCCATATATAACGCTGTTGCAAGTCTTTAGACTTGGATAAGGAGACTTGTTACCGCCATATGGCTATAGGACCATAACATATACACCGTTCGCAGTCGTTGTTCGTCTGGGACTCCGAGAGAGTTGCTGTTCCTACCCCTGTTAACAAACATTGACCTCCCCCTACCCTCTTTTTGGGCCATTGATGGATGGAGCTCATGTCCGACTTTTGATTCTACTCCTTGATTGTGTTGCTTTTATGTGGGAGGACTGTGTCCGTGTTCACATAAGAGAGATTGCCAAGATGTTTATGGATGGTAGACTTGCAGTAAAGACTTTGCTAATTTTGTTGAAAGAATGAGTATTTCTCTTTGTTAAAAAAAAAAAAAAACTATAAATAATTGTGTTCCAGTTAGGCCCCTTTTTTTGTAACTTGGGCCTTGAACCTAGGAATGTTCTGGGCGATTCTTTTCTGGACTTCCTGTCTTTGAGCTTTAATTTAATGGTCTTCTATTTCTTTGGGCCTTCAGCTGGCCACATTGCACGGCCCATACTTTTCTCAACCACTTTAAAACTGGTACTGGATATTTATTTTTCATCTATAGCACAAACAGTTGAGCAATTTTGCCTAAATTCCAGGACTGCGAATAAAGTAAAATTAGCCTAATCCTTCTCTTTTTTAAAAAAATTTTATTGCGAAACCTTAACCAAATTTTAACTGTTTTGACCAAAGCAAAAGCCCTGAGGTTGGTTGCAGCTTGGATGTTGATGCATCAATTTATGCCACAATTCATTGAAAAAACATAGCTGCTCCCACATCTCTGCAATGATTAGCGGCGGCAGTTGATATTTTGGTCCTAACCTTAGATCCACGAACACCAATAAACTGGTCGGTTTATTTTTCTTCATCACTTTATTTTCAATATTTTTATTTTTTTTAATTTTGTTATTTGCAGGGTCATGAAAAGAGTTTTTATTTTTTTTTATTTTTACATTTTCAATGAGAAAACCAGAAACTGAACTATAAACTTATACTCAAATTTTCATCTCAAAAACAAATTACATATGTTTAACAAAAATATCATTCAGGGAATCACTATTTAAGCCTACTACCTCTTGGAAAATTATAAAGGTAGGTAATATACAGCTAATGTTTGTTAAACTCTATAGTTTGATAATGTTTGACAAATCTCACTTCTTGGACAACTTCAAATTAGTTGTTAACAATAATTGCTTTCAATAATCGATCATCAACACTTTTTTTCTCTCAATAATCTCATTTTTTTTTATAACTGCCTATTGATATAAATCAAAAATTATCTCAGTCAGTGCAGTTAAATAATTTTAACTCTTGTCAATGAGACTTGGGTTCTCTTGTAAATACACATATTGAGAGTATTATTAAATTTATTTCATTTGGAAATGATTTTTTATATTTGAAACACCGAACGATGAATACTAAATTACATCAGAAATCAAAATAATTAATGAAAAATAACCCAAAGATAGAATTCCGTTTACAACTCAATTCACTGAAAAGACAGTTAGGTATGGGGGTGATAAACATAGCAGTTACTGCCAAGATAAAAAATAAAATAAAAATAAAAAGAACTAAACCCAATCTGTTAGGTCAACACTCTTTTTTAAGCAGTCAGTTGAAAGCAAAATCCTGAAAACATCAACCACCACATTGTGCTTTGTGGGCGGTGAGTTGTGACAGCTTATATTCTTTCTCATGTCGTTTTCATCATTCCAAATCATAAATTAATTGGTCAATTGGTCATTGTCCTGTATCTAAAACATCAAATCAACTTATATTTCAATTCGACTACGTTTAGATTGAATTTCTTAACGAATAAAAAAAAGGAAGTGGAAAACAGAAAAGTCCCCACAGACGTGCAATAACGCTACAGAAGTCTTCTTTTCAATGAAAAGTTTCAGACTTTTAAAAGCAACAACGTAACTTAGTAAGCAGCTGCCCATGTGAGAAAACTTGCAAGCTTAGACCCACCACCCAGCTCATTAACAAGCAAAAGCATCAAATATAAACAGATTATGCATTAAACACAATATATCTTGAAGGCATATACAAAGCTCCCTAGAGAATTTATTTAAGTAAAAATCAGAACATAAAGAAGAAAACATGTTAGCATAGAATACTAGGGGAAGAAAAAGAAAGTAAGTTTTGCACCAACCAAACATGATTGAACATAATTGAAAACAATAATTATACATTACAATGAAAAAGGTCAAAGAATATGATACACTTTTACTCCCCCCACTTCTCCAAAACCCTTTTTCCCTGTGTAAATGCTCCACCAACAAAACAAATCAATTGGTTAGCTTTTAAAAATTTTAATAAGAAACAGTAATTGCTCAATTGGCTCAGATTTAGCACAACCAAAATAAGATAACAAACTGAATTTGATAAGCATAATATGACCATAATACTCTTCGCTATCAACAGGACTGCAGCTCAACCTGGCTTTTTCACCCCTCATCCCAAATTTTACAGTGCATACTCTTCAAAGTTATGTCGGTTATTTTTCCATTTCCATCACCGGCAATCTGATGAGCCAAATGAGTCTGGAAATCCTGAGGGTTTTGCAGGAATGCTTGACTGGGTATCGGAGTATGATATATCACCATACATTGTGGAAGTTCCCTCATCTGCTTGCCATCTTTGTAGAGCCTGTGGAAGGCTCATGTGAAGGTCAATGCCTGAGTTTTCTTCATCCTCATGGCTGGTAGGTTTCCACTGCTCAACAAGAGGGCCCAACACATTGACTGCATGCCCCATGTCAGGTCGCTGATATGGTTCACGAGCTGTGCAGTGCCCTGCCAGCTCAGCTACCTTGAAGATGCTCGCCATGGTCTCTTCATCACAGTTTATTGTTTCATCAACCACTTTTGGAATGTTGTCTTTGTTGATTAGAAGCCTGCGGAACCAAGTGACCAAATGTGACTTTTCATCAGGTAAGGTTTCATCTAAAGCTTTTCGGCCAGTGATTATCTCCATCAAGACCACCCCAAATGCATAGACGTCCACTTTAGTAGTCACCCTTCCAGTTGCTGTTAAGATTAAAATGAATATAAGAAAAGAGTATATCTGTTTAGAAAATTTTACATTTAACCCAAACAACAAAAGGGGGCATAGTCCAGATCTTCTCCATAAATTGACCTACTTTACTAGTTATAGAGCTGTTCCAGTTAGCAGAATTCATTAAATTAAAGAACAATGATTAACATTCAACATCAGTTGGCTAGCAAGCAGAGGCTTTTGTTAAAATAAATTGCTCAACAAATTTAAGGATATGAAAATATTTTGTAGAGAAAAGCCAGGAAAAAGGAGAGGACAAAAGAAAATATTTTTTAGTTACCAAAAAGACTGGTTAAATAAACCCAAAGAACGTAATTTGAAAAACAAAACAGTAAAAGCCTTTGCATACCATGCCTACTAAAAGACGCTCCTATAAGTGTCATCTATTCTCAATGCTAATAAGAAGACAATTCTTTCAGTC